TTCAGACCCAGCAGAACTCCGTGGTTCCAGCAGAAGAAAGCAGTCAGTCCTGATGCAAAGACCCATCGGTGACAAGTGGATGAGAAATAAGGATATTGACTGATCTGCCCCCTTTTTTGTGGTGCTGTGCAGCCCCCTCAAAGTTTCACAGAGTCACAGAATGGCTCACGTTGGAAGGGACCTTACAGACCATCACATCCCAACCCCAGCCATGGGCTGGGTGCCACTACCTGGTCAGGCTGCCCAGGGCCCCATCCAACCCAGCCCTGAGCAAAGTTTCATCTCATATAACACAGGGCTGCACTGAGAAAGCAAACAAGGATATAAGGGCTGTACTTTTGGGAGTTTTACACTGCTGCAGGCTGAAGTTTCTTATTTCCCCTTTGCTCCCTTCATCCTGCTGCTAACCCCACACCCACTGTGCTCAGCACTTCCACCTGGGCACAAAGTGGGGCTTCCCTTCTTTCTGGAATAACTGGTTGAGTATTAATAAATTAACAGCCTCTGTTACTTGCTTTGGCTAAGCAGGACTTTCAGCATACTTGGGGCACTGCGAGCAAGAGTTGTTTATTTTTTCACCTCTGTGCCTGATGTAAATATTTCCTCATTACAGTGACACGTCAACACCTAAGATAAAATAAAGCAATGTTTCCAGACAGATTCACTAATGCTTCTTTCTTTCTTTGCTTTCTGGCCTCAGAGAAGCCAAAACCCCATGTGAAAACCTGAGGGTTTGAGGCAGTCACGTGTAAGGGCATCAGACGCCGCAGGTTAGGTTCCAATTGTCCTTGAGACAATCTCTGCATTGATTTTCTCAGGGAGATGCAGGATGGGTCCAGAAACACTCCCTGCACCATGAAGGTGGAGGAGATAAAGGTTTCGGTGTTGTCTCCAAACGGCTGATAAAGGCCTGGGGAAAACAAAGAACATGAAGCTTTTTGCAGAGGAGGGGACAGCAGGACAGCTGGGGATGAGAGAAGCTGAGAGAGAAGCAGTTTTTCAGCTTAGCTCCAATCATACTAAACTGAAAAAAGACAGAGTAAACGAACACATCTAAAGCTCATCCCTGCTTCACCGTCCTCTATAGCCGTTTCCTCACTGTTCTCAGTCAATGCATTGCAGTTTTTGGCAGCCCCACGTGCACCGCATGCAGCCACCCTCCTGTAACTCATCAGGCAATGCTCCAACAATGTTACCCCAAAAATCCTCTCCCAGCAGCTCAGGTGGTTCCCACACCAAGTGCAACCCTAGTGCAGGAATTATCTTTGTGCCTCATGTGGCACAGACGCAGCCACACAGGTATTGAGATGCAAGAAAATAAAAAGCAATCCTAACTAAGGAAATACAAAACGCCTCCCAAACAGAAAACCAGGTGTAGCATTTAACTGTAAAGCACTTCAGAAAAGAAAGTGCAAGCAGCTCAGGCAGATGAAAAGATGAAGCTCTACAGCTGGCATGTCTCATGCAGCAGCTCTTCGCACTGATGTTAGCCCCACTGGTTGCAGATACCTGGCTGTGCACAACATGGTAGGTGACATACACTGAGATAAAGGCATTAACACTCAACAGAGAACCTGGCAGAAGCATTACTCTGTATTCTTTCCTCTATGCTCTGCTGCTCTTTAAAACAAAACAATCTATGTGTGCAATATTCAGTAGAGCTCTGCTACTATGAGAGCCCCCGGAGGTCAATTCTGCAGGGAAAAGCAGGCGAAGCACAGCAAAGCAACACTCTAAGTAGTGAAATACGCATATTTGGACATTAGCAGGTACTGATGTTACATAGATGCTCCACTGTGCAGGGCTGCACCAAGATCCTGGTCCTGAAGGGAGACTGACGCAGGCAAAGCCATCCCAACACCACAGATGCAGTGAAGGACCTGGAAGCAGCGCACACTATAAGGAATCTTAACTTGCACATGAAATCAACATTTGGGGGAAAAACTACAATGCTGCCAGGTGCAATTTCCCTCCTGAACACAGAATAAAATTCAGTGGGAGCAGGCACTGAAGCTCAGCCGATTCTCCTGGGACTAAAGCTGGCACGTGATGTTCATCCTGTGGAAACCATGCCATGCTGTTGCTTCAGCATTCTGGATGCAAAAAGTACAATAAGGGAAAAGAAATAGTGAGAGAGACCTGGGAAACACAGTAGAGGCAGTAAAATATGATTCTCCTGTAAAGAGGTTTCTTCCTTCTGATTCATCTCATATAAAACCTACTCAACACGCAGGGTCAGCACGACCTGCCCATCACTGAGCTCATTCCAGTTTGCACTGACACTGTGCTGCTAAGCTACATTCAGAGTAACCCACCGGATCGTGGAAAAAACCATTAGTTGCAAAGCAGAATACAAACTGGGCCAGACTACCAGGGCTTTGTATTTGGAATGTGCAGATAAGGCTGTGCTTCTCCATGGAACCTATTGATACTGCTACCCAAATGCATACCATCAAGGCAGAGCTCATGCACAGGCAGCCATTAACACAGGCATGGAGGAAACAAGGCATTATCCTTTAAGTTAACCCACACATTGAAAATCATGGAGGACAAAGCAAAAGTTTAACCTTCAAAGGCAGCTGGCAAGGAACAACAGACTGTTATCTCACACATCTTGTTAAACCACACTTCTCTTGTGCATAAATATTGAGGCTTGCATTAAGTTTCGAGTAAAAACCCAACATTGCATTATATCTTTACTCATTATATCTTTACTCTGGTGCTCTCTCATCTTTTTCTTCTGTTCTCAAAGCACTGTTCCCTACACTGGAAGGAAGAGCACAAGAATGGGGATGGTTTATAGGGCATAATATTTCCAGAGACACACCAGTCTCTTCAGGGAAAAGCAGAAAGAAGAAAACAGTATTTTGAGGTAGGCAAACTAATCTTGCAAGGAAAACTAATCCCAAACTTACCGCTCTGTTAAATGCAGTGAGTTGGCCCTATGTAGCCATAAATAACTTGAAGGCTGAAGTTTGGCAACAGCCGTGTTGTACAACGCGATAAAGAATGAAAGCAACAGGAGGAGTGAAATCTAAGTTAGCAGGGATCAAAAGCTCTAACTCATTCCTTCTAATGTATAGCTTCTGCTGCAGCTGCTATGCGAGTTAATTAACCTGACTTATGGACAGAAGACTCAAATCAATATTTCAGCAGAGAAACACTGATTTTTAGCAGGCATGGCTGAATGACCAGCCTGCAATTGCTGCCTGCAATTTACAGCACTGAAGACCCCGCAGGAAAAGATTTTCCTTGTTCAAAAATACCTCACAGAGCAGCAGATCATCGACAGGGCTGAAGGAGCCAAAGGACTTGGGCTTGTTGCAACACCAAGGTCACAGCACCAGGAAAACATCCAGCGGCTTTTAACCAGCACTTGAAGTCAAAGGTTACGTGCTAGTTTCATTGCAGCTCCACATCCAGCGCAGCAGGCAGAAGTCACAGTGATGTGGATACATACAGAACCTTCCACTTACTGTGCAGCACTCTCATTAAAAGGCATTGCAGTGCAAGGGGATCAGAATTTGGCACAGAAGCTCAGAGATAACTGCAGTACTTTAAAATGCTTTAGAAGCACAAAGCAGAAGTATTTGATTTTAAAAACACTGTGGATGTTTCCAAACTGCAGTGCAGAAAATGGACGCATTGGCTGCTGATCAGATCTGACATAAGAAAGCCTCCTGTTATTATTCACTCTTTGGGCAAAGGAAACAATTCAGGCAGTAGCAGGAGATAAACAAAAGGCAGCTCTAGGAACCAAAGCGCAGGCAGTGCCTCACAACCACCCAGCACCTCATGCACATAAGCACTCTGTACTCAGACAACGAGCATCATCTGTTGGCGGAGCTTCAAAACTGCAAGCAGCTATCCAGCAAGCACGCAGCTAGGGAAAGAACTAACAGTCAACACTGTAAATTAGCTATGTGTCCATGAAGTGAACTATTTAGAAAACAGGATCACACTTGGAAATTCAATTCAGAACTTTTCCAATGCACTGCCGACTAATATCTGCCATTTTTGTACTCGGAGAACTGCATCAGAGGCATTTTCAACGTGGGCTTACGTTCACACCAGCACCAAACCACGAGCAATATGACAGAACAACACAGTAAAGTGCAAGGTTTTGCATTTGGGCCAGAGCAATCCCAGGCATCCTTACGGACTAGAAGGCACAGCCCTTGAGAGCAGCCTGCAGAGAAGGACCTGGGGGTCCTGATGGATGAAAAACTGAACATGAGCCAGCAGTGTGCTCTTACAGCTTGGAAGGCAAATGGAATCCTGGGCTCCATCAGAAGAGGGGTGGCCAGCAGGGACAGGGAGGTGGTTGTCCCCCTCTACTCTGCTCTTGTGAGGCCCCATTTGGAGTACTGTGTCCAGGTTTGGAGCCCCCAGTACAAGAAAGGGAGCTGCTGGATTGGGTCCAGAGGAGGGCAACGAAGATGATCAGCGGGCTGCAGCACCTCCCCTATGAAGACAGGCTGAGGGAGCTGGGCTTGTTCAGCCTGGAGAAAAGAAGGCTGTGGGGTGACCTCATTGCAGCGTTTCAGTACCTAAAGGGAGCCTACAGACAGGAGGGGAATTGACTCTATGAAAGGGTTGATAACAGCAGGACAAGGGGAAATGGTTTTAAGTTGAGGGAGGGAAGATTTAGTTTGGATGTCAGGGGGAAGTTCTTCACAGAGAGAGTGGTGAGGTGCTGGAACAGCTGCCCAGAGAGGCTGTGGATGCCCCGTCCTTGGAGGTGTTCAAGGCCAGGTTGGGGCCCTGGGCAGCCTGGTCTAGCATTAAATGTGGAGGTTGGTGGCCCTGCATGTGGCAGGGAGTTGGAGATTCATGATCCTTGAGGTCTCTTCCAACCTGCCATTCTGTGATTCTGAGAACAGAGCTGTTCCTTGGGAACTGTTTTTCTTCCATTTAGTCCATATGTCACCAGGTTTCAATACAAAGCAACTCCACGCAAAAGAAAAGATGGAAAACAATGTCACCAAGACTAGGAAACCTACATGGAAAATAATATCCTCACCTGTTTATTGTTAGTTTTACCACTCGGTAACCTGGTTGGTTGGAACTCAGTGTGAATACAACAGAAGTTTTGCAGAAAGTCACACACCTGCATCGTTCACACGAACCAAACGCATTTCAGGCTCAAAATTTGTGTGCCTTGACTTGTTGCTCTTCGTGTCTCTTTCAGGACATCCATTGTCACTGATCCGACAGAGTCCAACTCAGTCTCTCAAGCCAGGTGACACACGTTCAAAAGGTGGAGATGTCTCACAGACGGTCTTCTCTGCAGTGCATGGTGCTAGTGCATTCAACCAGTGTGTCAGAATTCAACCGTGTCAGCTTGGGTGTTTTACTCCACAATACAGGAATAGAATTTCACACGTAGCTTCGCATGCCTTATGGCTGCTCGCCCTACTATAGGACAGTGCAATAAATACAAATATCTGCACGCTAGAAAAAGATTGAACTGCCATGATCTACACCTTGTTCATGAGTACAAATTTACCTAGTTAACAATATGACAAATTTAGCAGAAAAAGTGGCAATGGCAGTAATAGTCTACTACAAAAACAAGGCTAGAAGCAAAGTGTTCTCAAGCTACAGAAAACTTGCTACCTCCTAATACGTGACGTAGGGCCCAATTCTGCCAAGTGCAGCGTCGTGACCAGAAGACTGCATCAGAACATGCTTTTCCCCCATTTAACAATGAATAATTATACAATTTATTTGGTTTTGATAACTGTTTATAAATAGCACACTATAATGACTATTAACCTATACAGCAACATGACACTTATAGCCTAACCCTGAATACAAAGTCCAAAGAACATGACTACGAAGGCCAGAGAGCAAACGTCATCGACTAAAAGCATTTCCACTTCAGAATTTCCTTTTATTGAGTATTCTTTTACACAAGCATTTGAAACCTAAGGAACAGGATTTCCTATTCCCTCTGTTCCAGCAGTAATCTATCCACACATCACCCTTATAAATTAGTGATGGATTTTAACAGGTAGCCCCTTAGGGCTATATATTTATATATTTTATATATATGCACATTTACTTTGAATTCTATGTAAAAGTTGAAAAAATGTTTGAAAGAAAAACTCAGAATATATCACAGCTCTTTCAGCAAAAAAAATACAAATTAGTTTTATAACCACTATTCAATTTATCAAACTTTTTTTTTTTCTGAAGTATTTACTTTTAATTATGTACACATTACAGGAAATAAAACTTCTTCCACAAACATTCTCTAAGGTGACAGTTACTGATAGATGATAGCAGGAGGAATATTAAACAAATGGGGGTGATCCATTTCTGCTTTTAAAAAGTAAAAAGTCACCATATAATTGAGTACAAAAACCTGCATTGAATGACAACTGCTGGTGTAGTAACTTGATCAGATATGGAGACCAAGAGTATAGTAAAGCCCTATGGTAATAATATTTCTGTAGCATTTCCACTTGGTATGTATATACTAAATGTTGGCAAAGTTTCTGTAGCATTAGCTTATACAAACATAGGAGTCCTCAGTCTGCTGCATAAAATGGAACAGGTGTGTTTTAATTCTCCCAAAATGCACCTGAATTGCAGAGTGTCACTTACAAACCGCATAATGGAGCTTTTCTTCAGAAAAATATCTGTTTGGCATCTCCAGGGCTCTGTTCCATCGGACAATAGGGGCATTTTAATCTGGGGACGAAGACAGCATGTTAGAATGTCTGTAAAGCAGACAGAAGCCCGGTAGCAGTGCTTTCTGGAGCCCTAGCACTGCTGAAACACAGCTAAGCACTCAGCTTCTTCCTCCACCACAAAGGTATCAGGTTGGCAGTGACAGTCCCTCCTCCTTTCCCCCAGCAGCACACAACAAAAACACGTGAAGGCTCTGCTAAAAGTTACCTTTCACAGAAAGAAACCTTATCCCATTTTTCTTCCCTCTAATTGTTTTCTCACCTTTTACCCACTCACCTCTGAATTATTAAGTACCAGGAAATTATTCCTCACGGTTAATCTATTATTTAAGTTTTGGGGTTAGTTTGTTGCATTTAAGCCATTGTAAGCAGGCTGGTGGCTTTCAGTGTGACTTCATTAACATCCAGCCAGTTTTACTCCCCGATTCCCAAAATGCTGTCATTTCTCAATCCACAAAGATCAGCTCCTGCAGGCTATGGCTAAATAGGTCAGCCTGGCCTCCCTGCTGAGGTCTCCACCAGCACAATTCCATCTGCTCACTGCATTTCTTCCAGCACTGATGCATTCTCCCCCCATCTCTAAGCCTGCACCTTTCATTCCCCAAAGTTAATTTTGTCAGAGCTGTTCTGTCACTAAAGCTGATGAATAAAAGCATCAGGAATGAGTGACCACAGACAGAAATAACACAGCAGTAAGCTTCTCAGCTTAAAAACGGATGAAGTTATCCCAAAAGCATACCTTCCCTTTTTCTTGCTTGTTTTTTGAAACAGAGCAAAGCATGCAAACATTACTCAATGTTTTCAATCATAGTATCACTTATTTTCATACTGGATGTCACAAAACAACCAAGAGCTCTAAATTAAGCCAACAGCCTTCGCAGAAGCTGCCTACATTCAATCCACGTTACTTTATTCCTGAAGGAAATCTGTACAGCTCTCCCCTCAGTTTTCCTCCTTTCCAAAAGCCTGTAGCTACCAGGGCATGATAATTCAACTACCCACTCAATTGCTAAGCTGTATCTCCTCACAGGTTTACTTCCCCTGCCTACTTTAAAGGGTGTTTCCACCATTACAAGCGTTGCTCCCAGTGAAAAAAACAGGTGTGCAGAAGTCTCTCTTTGAATTTTGTGATGACATGGTGGCATTTGCAGCTTGGAAAATTACTCTGTTCACTACATTCCTTCATGTAATCCCTTTCTACAACATCAGAGGTTTCTTATGCTATCCTCCAGCACATCAGCTCAGCCACCTGATTTCAAAGTCATGCTCCAAGACTTACAAGCTTCCACCAGTTATGGAATTGGGGATGCAGCTTTCCTCAAACGCCACGCTTTAGTCTTAAGATTCATCATTCTCTATATTAGCTTGGAATGCAAAAAAATGGTACTTACTTGCTGCCATTAAACATTTTATTCAAAGCATCTCTTGATATAATATGACCACAGACTAATTTCATAGGTGGATTATTATCTGTTGTTTGCTGACGGAGAATGGGACAAGCAAATATTGAATGGTACCAGCACTTTTTGCCAAGGTCCACCTCAATCTGTGAAAAAAATGAAGATGATTTATCTTGAGAAGCAACATTTCCAGACAATTATTCCTTTATGTCACAAACCCCTTAAGAACTGTAACTCAGCACTGAGGGCAGCAAAGTCTATCATGTTGATGCTTTACAACTTCCCAGTCAAGAACACTTCATTGTGATCTTAAAATGGCAGTTCACATTGCTCTCCCTCCCAACTCCCTAAAAAAGCAGAGTATTCTGACAAAAGACAGGTGTATATTTTAGTGTAGATCTGTGCTCTGGTACGAAAACTGAGCTGATGACCCCACAAGGCATCCTGTATTTTCTAACCAGTGATTTCTACAGCTTCCTAAAAGACTTCCCCCTCACCTAGAAATCCCATCAATATTAAAGTGCATCAGAATCATTTCTCTTCAGCAGTAACACAGAAAACACTGGTCCAAAAAAAACTCCTGCCATTAGCACTAAATGACTTCAGAAAGCAACACCTCAAACAGAAAAGAGCATATAGATGACTTAAGGAAAGGACTGACAAGTGCAGGCCTGGAATGTGCACGCCTGAAAGTTCCACTCTCACTGTTACAGAAAAGCAGCTGAGCAAAAACTTCACACATGCACTGAAGCTACATGTGAATCTCTTCTAGCTACCATCAGTGAGGCTAACTGAGTCCATGCCCAGTTTGCACTAAACAGGATTTATTTCCAAATCAGGAGCAGGTCACTGGAGAGCTGCATGAGCCCAGTAAAAGCTATAAAGGGAAAACAGGATTTCATAACAACTCAGCTTCTTTTAACTCAAGAGTTGTGCTGGAAGCACAGTGCACTGGATCCCAGTGTATACAGATTCAGATACAGATCCCAGACACAGATCCCACACTACATCTTCTACTTCATATCTGCCTGATGAAGTGTCAATGCAAAGCAGCCTATGAACAGATCTCAAGCCCAATTGGAGGAAGCTCATGTTCCTCAGTGAGATTCAAACTTTATCAACTACAGAAGAGGAAGGGGACTCAGCTGCCCATGCTTATGTTTTATGCAAGTCCTGTATGTGGGTGCTGCTGAAGGCAGTGCCTTGCCTATGGCAGCCTGCACAGCTGGTCATACCAGTGGCCCTTGTGCAAGTATGGGTGGTGATTCATGCTCAGCTTTGCCGTGGGCTGAAGCTACAAACAGAAAAGCAGCAGCCAAGTCCATCAGCCAGGCTGGCTGGCGACCCTGCACACAGCACAGGGGTTGAAACCAGATGATCACTGTGGCCCTTTTCAAACCAGGCCATTCTGTGGTTCTGTGATCAACATGAGCAGAGATCCTGAAGTCTCTGTATAGGAAACCTCAGACCCTGGAGCTGCTGGAGCTGGTGGTTACGTATGACATCCCCTAGCATTCAGCACACAAGCAGCCTGAAACCTGCATTTCCATTAGAGATCCATCTGCCCCATAAAAGCTCAGCTTTCACTCACCGGTAGTTCATCCTTCTGGTTCCAAACACCTGTGCACTGCCTTTGTTCAATAACTGCCTTGATATTAATTAGAGCTGGTAATGCTACACAACCTGCTGAAAAACTGCAGAAAAAAAACCAAACACATTAACATAGTGTGAGTTTTAGCAAGTAACTATTTCTTGCATTTCTATTTTAAAAACCTTTCAGATACAGCAGTGTTATACTACTTCATTCAATTTGTGCCCGTGCTGCTGAGTAAAGAAAGAAAACAAATGTAGGGAAATAATGTCAGGCAAAAGAAGGAAGGAAAGCACAAGATGCAGTGATGGAACAAGAGCAGCAGTATACAGCTGTACCATGGCAGTGCCTCAACATTCTGCCTGCTCTGAGAGCTACCCATTTCCAGAACTTCCCACATTACTTTCAGGAAAATACTTCAAAGCATTAACAATGATTTTTGACAATTTAACAGACATTTTGATGGACAATAACTTCAGTCTAACAACAGTGCTTTGGGCCTGGAAATCAGGAACAACAAAAACAGAATTTGTCAGCCTGCCCTGCTTCTCTGGCAAATCATTTTGTTATCTGTGCATGTTTTATTATCATGACCTTCCTCTCCTCTGCTCCTCCAGATATTTGTTTTTAAGGTTTCTACTTATTTTATATTATGGCTAGTTTTCTTGTGAGGGATGTGCCTGAAGCCTGCCAGCCTGCTGCCTGCTATTTTAAAGAAAAATGAAATGAAGCACCTCTGCTAATGACTGGCCTTTTCATTCCTTGCACTTGGCTTTTTGTTGGTGTCAGCACCGAGTAACTTGTGTTAACTCTTGGGGAAGTTTATACAGGTGCATCATAAAAGCACCACTGCTTCAACTGTTCTACCCTACATCTCTAGATGAGTCCAATGGGCACCTAACAATTCAAGTAAAACATAAATGTAAGTAACAATTTGGCATCCTGTTGTCCTTCAAGACCCTGAGCAAAGACCTCCTCAATGCACTACGTTTTCCTATTGACTCCACAGAGTAATTCAGACTGTAAGACCTGAATTAGACACACACTGAAGAAACCAATCAGTCTTTAAAAGAAAACTACAGCAGGCAACCTCTATCAACATTCTGAAAAGCAGTACATTTGATAACAGGGATTTCACTTGAAGCTAGTTGAATTTTTGAAGGATTTGCAGCACCAAAGGTCACGTCAGTTTCAAACAGCCTTATTTGTGACAGGAATGTCGACACCCCCTGCGCAGCAAACATGTTTCAGCACAAACAAATTCATACTGGGCTCAAACCAAGAGGCCAACAGATCCAAATATGAGGGATTTTTCCACTTCATTGAAAATCTCAGACACTTGCACTGAGAGCTGCAGCATTACAGTGGCAGCACAAAAGGAAAGCACCATGGGTGGTTGCTCACTTCACTGCAACAGGAGCAACATGAGAACTAACAACCACAGTTACAGATATCCATAATTTAGACTATCTATAAAATCCTCCAACTGAAACTGGCTTTGTTTATTCCAGGAAGACAACTCATGTGGAAGCAACTCCCTTTGTTGTAGTTTATGACAGAGGTGTGAAACAGGAGAAGCAGAAGGCAGGACAACTTCAAACAGAGCTCTAAAGAAGAATAATAAAATGCAAATAGTAGTTAAAAAACAGACCCAGGAAGAGGTAAGGAAGCTTCTGCTGAGTACTGAAACTAGCCCTGCAAGACGCATGTAATTTATTTTCCATTAAATGTTTGAAATAGAAATTAGAACATCAGGCAATTGGCAGCCAAAGGTTAAAGAGCAGCTGATCTGTATTATCTTCTGAAAAGCTAGAAGGAGATTAAACTGCTTTTTCTTAACATTTCTGACAGCCTACTATCAATTTGCATTTTGTCAGATTAGCTACCGGGCTTCAAAGAGCCTTTATCCCTTGCAAATGAGGGCCAACAAATAGTTTGGAAATTTGAGCAGTTAACATCACAACCCGATTCAAACACTCTCGTAAGGAGAAGACAGGTGAAAAAACACGTGGATTAAAAAGAGATGATCAAGTGCTGACAGAATCACGGTTGGAGCTTTAGTGCTTTGTGGTTACGCAGCAGGAAGAGTTTTCACACACTTGTTGTGGAAATAAATGGCTGATGGCCATCCTCATCCTTCTGTCTAAGCTACAGAAGCCAAGATCCTTCCATGAATGCTTCCCTTTGAGCTGAAAAGATGCTTCCTCTCAGCTGAGAAAGCCCAGCACACCAGAATCTCTCATCATTCACATCCTTGCAAATCTCACTGGAGCTAATTGTAACCACACTCTTTACTTCACACCAGCTAAATAAGACTACTTGTCAGCATTTATTTTGTCCTCAATTAGAAACAGAAACCAAAACTCCATGTACCAGGTCTTAAAAGCAAGCAAAAAGCAGCATACCTAACACTGAGTGGTGATTCGACTGAGAGACCCAGAAGAGCACAGGCATCTCTTGTGAAGATGTCACAGATGTCCGCCCACTGATTTGCATCTAATAGATGAACGTACGGCGAGTTCTCTATGCCTTGCCTCAGATACACCAGGCTGCCCATCAAAACCTGAATATCTGTGAGGGACCAGGAACAGTTAGTTGTTTCATGCTATGAATAGAAGCTGGCATCTTCGCTTTTAGACTGCGTGAGAGAAACGAGCAGAAGCAGAAGATATACCAAAGCAACGACACACATCCTCACCTCTACAACCTATAATTCCAGCCACCACAGGACACTTTTACCTATGAAACCCCCAGTGTGCTATGAAAATAAATGAAAATAATGACCGAAAACACACTTGGAGCATGATTTGTATTTAACTACCACACGTCACTTCCAAGTGCCTTGGGAATAAGACCTTACCTTTCTGATGGTTCAGGGCAAACGGCTGGAAGTTTTTCGCGTACTGAAGTGCTTCTCTTTGATTTGCTGTTCCACCCATCAATAAACTAATGAAATATAATCTGTGTAGTTTGAACTCCAGTGAACTATTCTGTGCCATAAGCATTTCTCTGTTGGATACCGCCCACCTGGAAGAAACGAGGAGGTACAAAGGGACGTGACACAGGAGCAATTACATGTCAGCCCACATGATATCAAATTATTACAATTATCAAACAGCTATTTCAAGAAGGTGACTGTTCCTTGAACTTCTATTAGCCTACGTGGAGCACAGAAAAGAGTAAGATCCTTTACAAGTAGGAGTTATGCTGCATGCACAATACATGTACAGCATACTTCTAGTGCTGCATAGGTTAGCCTGTGCCTTCTAACACAGCAACTGGAAGGCAAGGCTGATTTAGGCACAACAGAAGGTAGAAATAGCTGAAATTAATTCCTATATTTGAATTAATATCGCTGAATCTTAACAATTACAGTCTTCTGCTGCATGTCATACAAGCACAACGAATGCTTTCAACATGTTTTCCAAATTCCTCATTCCCCAGCGTCTTCTGCTCAGCCACTGTATTGTGTGTACGTTGCCCTGGAGAGGGGAAGTTCATCTATGGAACAAGTCCATGCACTGCAGGTACAAGGGGAGGAGAAATCAGTCTGCATACAGTACTCGGCTCTGCTAAAATGTGATTTGTGTTATTGTCAACTGGCTGCAATAGAGGCTGTTTTTCCAAACTGGCTTTTAGACAAGCTTTCTGTTTTCTTGTTCTCTGAGTGGCAGCACTGATTTGGATGAGAAGAAAGCAAACACAGAAGCAAGGCCTGAGGTGTTTGGACTAGCCAGTTCCATTCCTATTCAAAGGATTTGCAACAGAAAGAGAAAAAGCAGCAAATGATGGCTAAAACATTCAACTCACATACTCCCCACCACAGTTCAAAATCATCAGTAATCACAACATCTGTCTTCCTAACGCCTCTCAAAATGATACTTTCAGAGTGTCTTCAATTCTGTGACTCAAATCAATCTGAAATTTTTGAAGTATGCTGTACACTGTGCAAACCACAGCTCTCTGCTAGCTCCTATGGGGAATTTAGTTAGGATGCATCTCACAAAGCCTGACAAAGATTAAAGTAAGCTTAAACCATGTCCCCAAAGGTCACAGTGAACACCAAGACCTTACTGCTTTACAGACACATGGGATGACAATGCCTATTCCCTGGGAGACTACATCAGAAGTTCTGAACCTGCCACTTACTCCCATCAAAGCTTCACAAAGAATGTTCCTCCTGATCACTGCTGAGAAATATGGGAAACTACTTCATCAGCACCAGCAATTCTGAGGAATAACTGCCTTTTGAGACACAGCTCAGTTCTTAAGCTGGATAGAGTATTGTCACATTTTCGTTGTCCTAACAGCCACATTTTTCACATAAGCATTTGTGCCCAGCACCAGGCAAACAGAGGCAGAGAGTTTTTGCCCTAAAAAGTCACACTATAAGCAAAAATGAGGCAGGGCGGGGGAGGGAAGCCAGCATAGAAATTGAACTAACAATACACTCTATTCTCCATCTAATTCAGCTGTCTAGGGAATAAGGCTTCCTTTGAAGAAGGACCATGCCTTCTCCTTTGTTTGAAAAATATTCAACACATTGCAGGAATGACACAATGTGGCTAAGTTGCCATGAATAAGGCACAGGGCCTGGGTAATGTGAGCTGATCTAACTCAGTGACTTGAGGTAGATGGACGTAACAGCAATAATTTACTGTTCCTCAGAGAGAGAGCATCCTTTACAACAGCCATGTTACTATTTGAACTACAGCAGTGTGTGGTGCAGCCAACATTAAATTCTGTTCAGCTGCATCACAAAGCATTGCAGTGCTGCTTCCCTTCATTTACCCAATGCAATGGCAATAAACCAGCTGAACTTTCCACCTGTGGAACTATATGCAAAGGTTATTCGGGTCAAACTCTGCATGACTCAGAGCTGTACTCCAGGATTTTACTGCAGGCTTGATATCAGAGCATCCTACATTTAGTGTAGATGCCAATGACCTCTGAACTGACATACACCTGAGCTGGTTCATGTGGAAAAATGCATTTAAGTACATTTTAGTTAAGTATTTAGTTAGCCAAATAATGCCAAAAAAAAAAAAAAAGGCATTTTAAGTGTACAAATTAAGATCTAGAATGAAATACATTTTCAATGCTTTGTTCCACGTCTCTTACTTTTAAAAGGTTGCTAAAAAGCTATTTTATTTTTTCTTGCATTTGAGTAAGCTTACCAAAGCCACAAGAAAGGCTGAGGGCTGGTTTGGTGCTTTTTTGTTCTTAAAAATAAAAGTTGCCCTGATTTGTACAGCACAGATATGTACCCACTCCTGGAAACTACAAAACCATGAGATATTTCATCATCTTTCCCTTATAGCACCATCTTACACGTCTAGTGGTTGTAAGCTGATGAAAATATTTTAGTCTAAGGCTGACTGATAACATCTGAGCTACTCTCAGACTTCAGGGAATGCTGAATGCTCAGACAGAACCTCCAACTCTTGGACTCCACGAGTTGTTTTTTTCAGATCACACTTTCAGCCCACGCTTCCACCTGCAACTCACGCACCAGAAACGCTTTCTGGCTATCAGGAACATATTATGACATTAATGATCACCTACCTGGCAGCAGCAGTCCTTACAGATCACATCTATCCTTTCATTCCCTCTTCCCAGTCTTTATCTGCACTAAACAGGGAACTGGCTTGAGGAAACAGTGACACAGTTGATCCTGAATCTAAGTTTTGCTCCCCACCAGGGTTTGGTGAAGCAAAGAAGACTTGGTGACACCCAACACCTTTATTAAGTCCTATTATCCTCAACAGCTGGACCTTTGTGCATAATATTCACTAGTGTTTCACTGTAACTACAGTAAAGAACCATCATGGCTGAACATTGGTTCTCTAAGTTAATTTTCCTCCCAAAAGCTTAAATTAACCCTTAATTGTGGTTGGACTTGATGATCTTTAAGGCCTTTTCCAACCTGAGCAATTCTATGATTCTATGACTCTAAGGATCCCTTTCTTAGTTAAGCATTGGCCACTGGGAGGAACAACAAGAGAACAACTGGAAAACATTTGCTCAATAATTGAGATGTCACAAAGAACAAATGAGAACACATCAAAACAAGATAATATTTAAAGTGAAACACTATGGATTTATTAAAAGAATTTCTAAAAAGGAGGAAAAAAATGAGCAGACTCACTCTAATGCAGGTCTCAGAACTCTAACTTTTAATGCTTCCAATATTCGATTTAATTCCACGAATGGTTCTTTCTGACTCTGATCTATTGATAGACCAGATTCCTGAAAAACAAAGGCACGCTTCAGGTTAAAGCCTAAAAAAGAGGCAATTAAACTGCTGTTTTTTCCAGACAGTTTCAATATTCACCTGGAAAGCTTGCATTCAATAAGGATGCTGTCACAAAGCGTAACGCTGCACGTTCAGGAACATTCAACATCCACACTTACGTTACCTGACACAGCTCCTCGGCCACGTCCAACATGCCCTGCCGGAAGAAGTGCTCCACCATCACCTCGTTGAGGATCCGCTGGCTGTCAGCCTGCCAGCACCCATCAATCCCCACGCTGCTGATGTCAGAGTCAAAATTCTGAAAGGTACAAATTAACATTTAATAGGTTGGAACAAAGAACCCCATGTAATTTTCACGCGGGACATCTCTGTCTCCACTCCAGTGCTTTCTGCCTATTACTCAGTTTGCCCTTAATTACCTCCTGTTCAAAGTAAAATGTATCTGTCAGCTGCTTCATTATCTCCTGTGTACAGAAGACATCCTTTGGCTTGCTCATCTCACGTCTCAATATTATCCACCATAAGGAACTACAGTGACAAATTACAAGTTAGCTTAGCAAATGAGAAGCGGAGTTAACTAATAAAGAGACTCCCGGAGTGCAAAGTGTTTCTGAAGAAAGTACCGCAGAAAAGAGTTTTTCCATACGTGAAAACTGAACAGCAGAACAGAAGACAAAAACCGCCCACGTTAAAATCAAAATAGCATTATCAATGCATCACTGTCACAACGGGGCACCAAATCAGAAGGAAAAGTTTTAACTCAAGAATTTTTGACATAACTGGAGGGGGCAGACAATGCTGGAAGAGGAAAACGTCACTTCTCCCCAGGCTCCCAATGACAACGAAATCCAAATCTCTGCAGATTTCAATATACCAGCACCTGAACTTTGAAGATCCCAGAGTGTTTTTGCAGATCTAACCCCAATAATCCCTTTGCAGCATATTTTTAGGTCAGTGGCCTACAGACATATTCCAGGAATAAGTAAAAATGTTGTCACCGTGATTCTTTAGTAACACTTGGCACTGTGCCTCTTGGCAACGGGAGAGCAACGCTTACTCTAACCCAGGATATAAAACAGGATTTTAACTGCTAACATGTTTAGTGCTCTGGGCAAGCAAGATAATTTGATTAAACATCCACACCCATAGTCCAAAATAAACTTTTTGCAAAAGAACCAGAGCCCAGCAGGCAGTGCATCGCCTGATTGCCTGGTAGCTACAGCTGCCTTCTGGGAAGTAACTTCAGAAACCAGAAGTTTGGTGATATTAGCAGTGCTTCAGCTTTGGTTCTGTGATGATAACAGCTCTGCACATATGGGAACACTGCACACTCACCTCTGTCACAGCAGACACAGCAAACACCACTGAGCTTGTGTGAGCTGTTTGGCAGCCAGGCACCACCAGTTCTCCGTCAGCCAGCTAACACTGGAGCAGCAGGTTAGCCAAAACACAACCTGGGGTAAGGGCTGCTGGTACAGAGCTGGATAATCAGCTTCAAACCAAATGCGAGTCGGCAGTGCGGGTTTGCATTAGATCAGCACTTTGTATTCCAGTGCTGCAATACCTCTGACCTTCAGAAAGAGCCCAACAAGTCAGATGATGTTTTGTGACAACACACACCAGGCAACAGACATTTGCAGAGCAATGCTATCAGAAGCACTCAGAAGTCTCCTATTAACCTGTTCTAGAAGTGAGATCAAGTTTGAAGGAGATTCTTTAAAAAAAAAAAAAAAAAGCCACAGTAGAGAGCAACCTCCTTGCAGCTTTCACCTCATCAATCCCAAGTTTACTTCAGCTGACACAATAAGTCAGAGTTCCTCTGAAGTCCACACAAAGAAATATGCAGAGGGAAGCACAGCAGACCTGCGCTCTGCTGAGCCCTCCCAACCATTCAAGGAACGTGGCTGGGTGGCAGCACCCCCAAAGCTCCGTATCTGAGCTCCCCCAGACCCCTGAGCCACCCAGCCTCCAGGCAGAAGGGCTCACTTTTAATCCCACATCTCCCTCACAATACCCACATGGCTATACCTGCTGCTTTCGCAGGTAGCAAGTACCTGCCCACCCTTCAGCTGCCAGCCTCCAGGACTGAAACTGCTTTGATGCTGCTCTGCAACATCATGAGAAAGGAGCAGCCTCCTCAGCCCCACGCACAGCTTCAAAGGCAGCACTCCCCTTGTAAACCCTCAGTAAAACACTCACCTTAGGCTAGCAAATTCTCTTCCATCTTTTGGAGATGGTGGGGCAAGACAAGCATCTAAATCACTGTCACTGAGACAAGTCTCAGAGCTAACGCTTCCACACAGGTGTCTCGACTTCCAAATTCCCTGCCCTGCTGCTCATCTTTAAACTTTGTAGTGAAAAACATAAGAGTTTTGAAGATTAAATAACACTGTTCTCATCTGTGCCAATCCTTTGAAGCCTTTACAGTTCAATACCATTGCTGATTCTGGTGCTGCTTTCCAGACACCCCTAGCAGGTAGCAAATCCATAGAGAAGGTATTAAACAAATAACAGAGGCAGCACTGAGAACATATAAGCTCTTTTTTTCATTACTTTGGTTTCTGGGATAGAAAAGAAGATTCATTACCAATGAAGTTATTCTTTGTTCCTTTTCAAATTCTAGCACACTTATAACATATATATATATATAATTTTGAAACAAACCTATGAGCTTTGAGAAACTTCTCAAAACCCCACTGCAAACTGGATTTTTTTTAATCCTATAAAAGATGGCAGCAGTGACTCACACCAACCTAGAAGTGCTGTAGCTTCAGGTCATATAATACAATTCAGGGACCTCAATAAGTTTTCTTCCTCCCCCTGATCTGTTCTCTGATGAACCCATGTTTGATCAGGCTTTCATTTCAATTACTTTTCTTTAAAAAAAACAAAACGTGGATGATTTCTGGGGTCTCTGTGGTACGTGGGATTCCACAGCTCTGCTTCCAGTGGCTCCTAAGCAGTTTCAAGAACTGACTGCACAACACAGCCAGTGACTGTCACATGTCAGAACAAATGACTGCTTGCCTTTCTCTCACTTATTTCATAATTGTCATGCCAGCACTAGATGCTCATGACTACACATCTCCCAGCTTTGTTTTCTAAATACCAACAGTGTGCCAACTGATGGCATGGGGAATTTCACAGCAAGTTAAATGAATTCCTTACATTACAGACCCCAACATGTTTATTTTACACTTTCAATTTTAAGCTTAGAAGCGTGTCAGCTCTTACTGCAGAGCAGCAGCCACTCTTTAAGGAGCCTAACCTAACAAGCCTAAAGGAAAGGTGTAGAATATGATGTGCTACATTTACCAATAATGCCAAGAAAAATACACTACTGATAATTGTTGAAATATGAGGACTCGAGACACTCATATGATGAACCAGTTCAATCAACACAACCTTCCCTATTAATAACATGATATGAAGAAGAATGGTGACTAAAGACAGCTTCATTTGCCAGTTTTCCAGCTTAGGTTGCTTTGGGCATTCCTTCCTTCTTCTGAATTCTGACCCCAAACACAAACACATTTGTTAGAAGTTCTCTGTTCAGTCTGTTGGTTCACAAGATGATGCTCAACTTGTAAAGACTACTAAAGCTTTCCTAAATGAAGGCATTCAACTACTGCTCACGTGGTTGCTAGAGGGAAACATTTACTCGCCCCATTTAGTTGTCTCATCCATGCTTGAGGATGAACTCATTGCAGATGAGTGATGTACAGGGAGATGAGGAGTAAGCTACCTGCTAACACTGTGCTGAACAACAAGAGGAGGATGAACACTGGAAGTGGAGCAGATGGTGCTGCAGCACAGATGCAACTGGATGCAAACGTTCCTTATCAAAGAAGAAAATGAAAGGGGCACATAAGCACGTAATCCATTAGGTCCCATCCAAGTTAGTAAGTAATGACTAAATGAACTTAAATGCAGACCAGACTAACACTGACATATAGATGTACCCCTTCCTCTACATTGGGAAAAAAAATTAATCTGTTTGCCACAAGAAGAAAATACAGCAAATGCTTTCAGTAGAGCTGTAGATGCTATGTGTAACAACAGATGTCATTTGGATGTGTCACTCTAAATTGGTACCAGCATTAGCCTGTTTCCCAACCTCAAATCAGGCAATAAAATCATGAGTTACATTTATCCGTGCCTGAGCAAACGCAGCTACAACCACCATAACAGGTGTTCCAGAGATGTTAATCCAGCCATGAGATAAATGAGAAGGTGCTGGGTGAGGATTTAGACACAGCAAACGGGACTCAAATCTTGTGAATCAAAGCAAGGGCAGCTTGCTAAAAAGGGCAGCTTCTTTAAATTCAGACAAGCATTTCACTTTGGAATCAGTAATATTTTGTCCACAATGTATCAAGAATTAATTTGCAACATCAATTACAGTTAATTACTGCTATTATTTTCAGCTTAAGTATATTATAGGGAAGCAGTGTGAAGAAGGCAATTCCAATAGTTTTTGAGCATGTTTTCCAGCAGCATGGATAAAATGCACTGAACGCACACGGAAAGTTCCTTTCAGGTGGTACTGTCCAGAGTTTAAACATCACAGTCTCACTTGACAAACATGCTGGGATTTCAGGATACACTTTCAAGTAGCAGAGACACTACAACCAGTGAGAAGTGATAAAACCAAATTACTTGCATGCTGAACAGTTCCTATCTAAGGAGATAACAACCCTCACTAGTGCTCTGCACTGCACAGAAACGTGTCCTTCACTCCCAGCAGGACTGGGGACTGGTGCAGTTCCCACTGGAAGCCTTTGGTTGAAAACATTACACACACGTAGCAGGAGCAAGAGTCTGGAGGAACAAGCAGGTCACAGAGTGCAAGCTAAACTCAGTTTGAAACAGCCCTCTGAAACAGCTTTTCTGACCCTGTACAGGCACAGGGTAGATCACTGCATCCCCTTCTGCTGCTTTTTTAGAAAACCAAGCATTTCAAATTTAACCAATGTTTTCATTTACAGCCATTCTTTTTGAAATGAAACCAATAGACAAAAGGCTAAGAGACAGCAACAACACTGTCAGATCTACGCACGTGACAAAGCAACAGCAATTTGAATATCAGACTCAAGTCTCACCTGTATCAAGCTCGTATGCATTGTCTCCTTCAGTCTCTAAGGAGTATTGCCACTAACTTCCACAGCAGATTTACAGCCTTTATACAAGACCAAGGGCTGCTCTATCTCAGATTACTCAAATTAAAAAGGTACACCCAAATCTGAAAGCTTTTCATACAAACTCCACTTGATAAGACAGAATAGAAAAGTTTCAAACACAGGACAAGATTACATAGATTTATTTCAGGCTTCACACCAGTAATAAGGGTGGAATTTTACTCTAGTTAATAGGTTTAGGTACAGCAGCAAGGATTAGATGCAAATGCATCCTTAAGCTTTGGATAACAGTGATGCTTGGATTAAAGCTATTAGTACAAAGTTTGAGCTCTCCATGATGGTCAATCATAAGCAAAACAACCCTAACAGCTGCAGAGACATTCTGCCCCACAAAGCAGCACTATGCACTTCATCAGTTCGTTGTGTTACTGTTAAATTATGCTTTAATAGCTTACCATTACTAACAAAGTTGAAATATTCAGTTGATGAATTAGTGCTCTGTAATGATACAAGTGTTTTTGTCCGGCTGAAAAGTTGTTTTTAATGAAAGTAGAGTAAATTCAATCTAAATGTTGTGAAATTGAGCCCTAAGAACCAACAACACATCTGATATACGTAAGAATGTCTGTCTCAAATTCTCTCAGCTTCTAGGCTGCCCTCAAGAACAGAACACCACTTCCTGGTCATTTGCTACCAACAATTAACCAGAACTGAAACACACACCTATAAATAACACTCCTTATCAAGACTGACGTTGCAGCAAACATTTTGCTATGCAGATGTAATACATTCTGTTACCAGCCTAGCAGGACCTCTATGGCACGTCCTCTTGGAAACAAGAGCTGCTCCAAAATGGAGCGCTCTGTATGGGAGTTCTGAAGCGTTGCTGCACATCACATGGTCTTATGTCTGCCTCCAAGCCTACACTGCTGCAGCTGAAAGGAAGACTGAAGATGAACAGTAGCACAAATCCCAGTGTTGTGAAGGAGTACAGACCACAGAATGCATGCAATAACACCATCAAACCACAATACACTTACCTTATCAATGGCTTTTCCAACTCGGGATACACTGCTGTGAATGTCTTTGTGATCAGAGGCCAGTTTTTGGACTGTGTCCTTTATTCTTTTACAGCACT